AGGATTACTCTGAAATTATTTTAAAAGCATAAATTAAAACCGGTCTTTTCTGGCCGTGAATTTGGGGATATCACACCTATCAAGGGAATAAGCTTATAAACCTATTAAAAGTTTCTTCCCCACCATTGTGGGATAGAAGAAACTTACCAACTTACAACCTTTCCTCTATAATTTCCAACAGAAGGGGGTTTGGTGTTCATGAAAAAGATATCAACAAGTTGGGTTTATTTGTATGTTATTCTCCGAAAACCTTCAAAAACAAGGTAAGAAGAGGTGGGTGGTGGCGACGTCCGAAGGTGGCGGGCGATGGAGAAAGGTGATAATGGTGGTGGTAGACTTTTTATGATTTCATAATTATATATGATTATATAAATATTAATTAACTAAAAAGAAAAAGATAAAAGGAGTGAAAAAGGAATATAATTTTTTATATATAGGTGAGGGACCAATCACGATAGAAATTAAAAACAACAAGACTTTCTATGAAGTTTTTTAAAGTTAGGAACTATATCCTAGATTTTAAAAAACATGTGGGCTGAAGTTTTGTCAAAAATATATTATGTTCTCGCGAATTTTGGGTATTGACTAACCTCACTGATTCATGAATTCTTTTCAACGAATTATATGATGTTTAATGAAAAAAAAAAAAAAAAAAAGTAGGCATATGTATGTATAACTTTAAGTATGGTCTCTATATCTCTAATAATGTTTAACAAAAAAGTTGATAAAACATATGTTCAAATCTCTAACAAATCCTTGGAATTTCAAATTTGTTGACAAATTCGTCCAAACCGATTAACAAACGCTCAAACGTTAACGAAAACTTTCTTTCCGTATGTCCTTTTTCCCCTAAAGCGTCACTCTCTCCTTCATAGCTAACGACTAGGTGTGAGGTGGGAGGTCATAGTTGTTCGGGATTCTTCGTAAAAATGCTGACAATTTGTGCAAATAGAACCTCCTCGCTGTTGTTCAGATTCAACCGTCGATCCTTCACGAAGCTAGCACATGAATCTTCGCCGGCGGCGCTTCGTGGTGACGATGACCAAGAATTTCTTCCTCAAATGCCGCCGTTCGACTACACGCCTCCGCCCTACGACGGGCCGTCTGCAGCCGAGCTTCTGGAAAAGCGGCAGCGCCACCTCAACCCTTGCATGTCATACTTCTACAAAAACCCCGTACGTTGCCCTCTAAGTGCATTCTCCTGATGTTAACCACATGTAAATTTGCCTATATTTTGTGAATTTGTAGTTTAATCGCATGATTTCATTTATCCCCAATGTGCATTGCAGATGTAAACCTTCGATTTGATAATTTCTTCTACAAATCTGTAATTCTTTCAACAGTTGTTTTTGGTAGATGGGAAGATGCAATACTTATTCGATGAGAAGGGACGCCGATATCTCGATGCTTTTGGAGGTATTGCAACAGTCAGTTGTGGCCACTGCCACCCTGAGATTTTGGAAGCCATTTTTAACCAGACAAAGAAATTGCAACACACGACTGCCTTGTACTTGAACAGGGCAAGTGCAGACTTTGCTGAAGCGCTTGCATCCAAGTGTCCTGGTGATCTCAATGTACATTATTACACTCTTCTAAAATCATAGCACAAGTATATGCTGCTGTTTCTTGCATTTATCCCTATGATTTAATTCATAACCTGATGATGTTTTAGGTTGTGTTCTTTACAAATTCTGGGACAGAGGCAAATGAGCTAGCTTTAATGATTTCTCGGTTGTACACTGGTTTCCATGATATTATTTCAGTTAGAAATGGATATCATGGGAATGCAGGTGTAACCATGAGTGCCACTGGTCAATGCAACTACAAGTACAATGTTGTACAGGTATGTTTCTACTTTCTAATTAACATTCCACTATAAGAATTTAAAGACAGTTTTAGTTAAGACTTCCACTTTTTCATAATTCATGTTCACTTAACAGAGTGGAATTCACCACGCGTTGAACCCAGATCCATATAGAGGAATCTTTGGTTCAGATGGACCTAAATATGCAAAAGATGTTGATGAGATCATCACTTATGGAACTTGTGGCCGTGTAGCTGGTTTTATTGCAGAAGCAATACAGGTAAGGCATTTAACAAATCCATATCTGGACCTGGACCTATACCTGTATCTGTCTAATGCATGTCAAATACAGTACAACCTTTTACCTGTCTAACACAGTACAACCTGTACCTATACATGAACCTGAACCAGTACATCGTACATGATCAACATGTACCTGTCTAATGTATGTCAAACACAGTACAACCTATACCTGTCTAATTCATGTCAAACACAATACAACTTATACCTGTACCTGTCTAATGCATACCAAACACCGACAACTTGTACATAAACCTTTACAGTACAACCTGTACCTGTCTAATGCATGCCAAATACAGTACAACCTGTACCTGTGTAATGCATGCCAAACACACTACAACTTGTACCTGTGTACCTGTCTAATGCATGTCAAACACAGTACAACCTATACCTGTCTAATTCATGTCAAATACAATACAACTTATACCTGTACCTGTCTAATGCATGCCAAACGTAGTACAACTTGTACCTGTCTAATGCATGCCAAACGTAGTACAACTTGTACCTGTCTGATGCATGCCAAACACAGTACAACTTGTACCTGTACCTGTCCTGTCTGATGCATGCCAAACACAGTACAACTTGTACCTGTACCTGTCCTGTCTGATGCATGCCAAACACAGTACAACTTGTACCTGTACCTGTCCTGTCTAATGCATGCCAAACACAGTACAACTTGTACCTGTACCTGTCTGATGCATGCCAAACACAGTACAACCTGTCTAATACATGTCAAACACAATACAATGTGTGGTGAGCTATGAATGGACATATCTTGTAATAATTTGTAGGGAGTTGGTGGAATATATGAATTGGCTCCAGGGTACCTTCAAGCAGTGTACAATAGTGTTCGAAAGGGTACCTTCAAGCAGTGTACAATAGTGTTCGAAAGGCAGGAGGACTTTGTATCGCTGATGAAGTTCAATCAGGTTTTGCACGCACAGGAAGCCATTTTTGGGGGTTTGAGGCGCAGGGTGTTGTGCCTGATATTATTACAATGGCTAAGGTAAAATTTTCAACCATTTCCTGATTTTGATTGAATATCAACAAATTTATACTTTTCAGGGTATTGGAAACGGACTCCCCCTTGGTGCAGTTGTAACAACTTCAGAGATTGCAAAAGTGCTGACATGTCATGGTTATCTCAATACCTTTGGTGGGAATCCAGTAAGCACTGCAGGTGGTTTAGCTGTTCTCAAAGTAATAGAAAAAGAAAAGCTTCAACAGAATGCATTAAAAACAGGAACATATCTCAAAAACCAACTTCTAGCTCTTAAAGAAAAACATCAAAGTAAGTTCCATTTTTATTAATATTATCATTATTATTATTATTATTATGATTAATTTAATAGTGTGTTGTTGAAAGTACAGTTATAGGTGATGTGAGGGGAAGAGGGTTTCTTCTTGGGATGGAGCTTGTAACGGATCGTGAGTTAAAGACTCCAGCAACCCGTGAAACTTTATATGTTATGGAGCAAATGAAAGGTTATTTTTGTAAATTCCAAATAGTACATGGGGCATGTATGTCTTTTTGTCTTGTCAATATTTAACAGTTGTTTGGTTATAGATATGGGAGTGCTAATCGGGAAAGGTGGACTGAATGGGAATATTTTCAGAATTAGTCCTCCCCTCTGCTTCACTAGAGAAGATGCAGGTATCATTTTTTTTTGTTAATAAACAAAAAAAAGAATTTGATGTTGTAATCTAAAGAATTTAAGCAACATAACTTATTTCTATTTATGTATTGTAGATTTTCTTGTGTCTACAATGGATCATATAATATCGAAGATGTGAAGAAGCATTTTGGAGTGGAAGTGGTATAGAGATAGGTTTAGATTTGTCCTATTATTTTAAACTAAATAAACAAATATGTTTTGGAGAATATATATACACTATCTTTCTTTTGCTCTTTAGCATTCTCTTTTCTCAAGTTTGTCATATTATACACATACATACATACACATAATTGTAATCTAAATGCATCGAGAGGAAGAGTAGTTACACAACAAATAAATAACAATGTGTTGTGTCCATTTATTAATATTACAAACTTACAAAATGAGAAATATAAATTACAAAAACTTAGAGGAGGATACCAAAACCGAACTTCATACACCACCATTATTGTTTTCTGCTTCAGAATCCCATTTTATAAATAGTAAAAACTCTTTAAAAGTATGTTAAAAAATTATCGGTGTTATAATTAATATTTTTCATCACAACTTAATGTCTTACCGATGCTTTCAATTCGGTCCATAGTGCCATCTCTATTCTCTATTTATGCATATGTTTAATGTTGCGACAATCATAACTATTGGTGGCAACTATTACATTGAAAATGATTAGAATATGTTTACATTGCATTAAATATAATTAATTGAAAATTAAAATACTTACATCCTAGTATCGTGAAAGCGTAGGATTACCCCTAATTCTCATCAGTTGCATACATTGATGACACTCTGCCCATTCTTTCCATCTCTGTCCACAATGTACTCAAAACTCTCCAAAATTAGGGCTACAAACGAGCCGAGCCGAGCTCGGCTTAGCCTCGTTCAAGTTATATAAGGCCCGAGCTGGAGCTCGGATCGATTCGAGCTTTCTTGTACTAATCCAGGCTCGTAAAAAATTATACAAGCTCGACTTGGCCTCGAGCTCGGCTTGTTTTTTGTCTAATGTGCCTAAATAAGCTTAAGCTCTGTCCGAGCTCGTTAAGAAGCTCGTTTATTAATAGTTTAATACCCTAAATCCCTAATTCACTAAATACTTTTTATTTTAATATATACAAATAATAATATATTATGTTATATATAGGCTCGTTTAGGCTCGCGAGCCTAATCGAGCTTAGTAACATTGGCTCGAGCTCAAGCTTATTAAATAAGAAAGCCAATCTCGAGTAGCTCAGGAGCAGCTTGGCTCGTTTGCACCCCTATCCAAAATCATGGGCCTAAGGCCATCGAGAGTACATGTTACTAACCACTAATGTGACGGGTGCTACCTCATCTTCACATTCTATCACTAAGCATTGTTAGCTAAGGACTCTGTTTTCTTCTTTGAATATTCTTGTAAGAAAATGTTAGAAATAAAAGTTGTGGTTGAGGCTCGAGTTGGATTCGATTCCCATAAACAGATTCGTCGTCTGTTCCCAGGGTACAACAACCTTAACAGTGTGTACTTCCAGATATATCCACTTGCGTGAAAGAATCGCCGGAAGTAGGTATACCGAGAAGGAGGAGGAAAAAGAGTATATACATTCGTATGTTGAATGAGACAGTAGAGATCTCCTTTTATATCTGAACAAGTAACATCAACAAATCAATCGTCATTAAGGAATTGATTGAGGCATTAAATGCCAATAAATGCTATTAAATACATAATTAATGCATCAGTTACAAAATTCAAACTAGGGATCAAAACTGTCAAGTTTAGCAAAAACGAGGGTTACGTGAGCCCGAGTTTTCGAAGCTGCATTCGTGTCAACAGGTCGTGCCCGTGCACAAGTTTGGTGATTTTGGTCTACGAAATCCAAGATTTGCACCCCTGCGCGCGGTTAGGACTTAAAGTAAAACCATAGACACAAGCCTGTAAGCTTTTCATGCATTGAAACTTATAAACCTAGTTGAGTTTGGTCTTTCTACCAATGCGGGACTCATTCCCACATTCATCTCTTTGCTAACTTTATTCTCAAATACCCGTCTTTAAGTATCGATATCTCATTCACATATACTCCATTTTTGGACATATCTTATATTGTTTCGAAGTTCTCACGGAGGAGAACACAAATCTACTTAGAGTTATATATATATATATATATATATATATATATATATATATATATATATATATATATANNNCCAAAGTTAGTAAAAATATAAATATTTATACTAAAATTTTCCAACAATCCCCCACATGAATGGAGATCGATTTTAGCAATGTCATTAGATTGAGGTGAATAGGGTGATGTGAATTCAAGTTATGACTCTTTCTTTCAGCAATGTCATTACATTTGAACATGTCATTCAAGGCATATCCTTTCCCTCAAAACATACCATTCTTGGACAAAACAAACTTGTCCGACTCAAACACAAGCTTAAAACCAAACTGATTCAACAAACCACCCGGAACTAGATTCTTACGAAGTTCAGGAACATACAAAATATCCCTGAGTTTCACATCTTTCCCCGAAGTCATTTTTAGAACGACATCATCAACACCTTTGATATCCGCGATAGCTGCATTTCCCATGTAAAGTTTTTCACCATCTTCAACTTCCTTGTAGGTGTTGAAAACACTCTTATCATGACACACATAACGAGTATCTCGCGTGTCAATCCACCACTCCTTTGAATTTATATTCATGAGATTCACCTCAGAGACCGTAGCCATGAGATCAATTATCATGGCTACCAACTCCTTGTCATCCTTCACCATGTTTGCTTGACGGTTTCCCCGCATAGGTTGCGGCCACTCCGAAGCCTTGTGACCCGGTTGGCCACAATTGTAGCACTTGAACTTCTTCTTGAAAGTTCCTGCCTTGGGGCCTAAGTTTTTACCCTTTGCTTTCCCTTTGCGAGGTCCCTTGCCTTTGCTCTTGGAAGTTTGACCAGTTCCACCATATGACCATTAGAATATTCAACTTCACTGCCTTTCTTCAAAGCCATTCGATTGTCTTCTTCAATGCGAAGACGCGCCACCAGTTCCTCCACAAACATCTCCTTTCGCTTATGCTTAAGGTTGTTTTTGAAGTCTATCCAATCGGGAGGAAGCTTTTCAACCAATGATGCAACTTGGAAAGACTCATTAAGGTCCATCCCTTCTGCATTGTTATCATGTATAATGACATGAAGGTCTTGGACTTGACTCATAACTGATTTTGAGTCAACCATTTTGTATTCCAAGAACTTAGCAACAACATGCTTCTTGTTACTAGCATCTTCTTTCTTATACTTCCTTTCCAAAGACTCGCATAGTTCCTTAGCAGTTGTAACTTTACAATAGACATTATAAAGTGCATCAGTTAGCCCATTTAACACATAGTTGCGACACATAAATTCAGAATGCTTCCAAGCATCCACTACATTCACATAATGAACATCACTCTGTCCCTCAGCAATTACGGGAATAGTTTCTGTTAGGAAACAAGCCAAGTTCAAGGTGGTCAAGTAGAATAACATCTTCTGCTGCCACCTCTTGAAGTTCAGACCAAAAAAAAAAATTCAGGTCGCTCAGCATGACTAGTCATGATGTTTGGAACAAGTGCATTTGGGTTCACAGCAGGGGTGCCAGCAGCAGCAGGAGCTCTAGTAGCAACATGAGTTCCAGTTATTCTGAAAAAATCATAATGATAGTTAAATTGATTATGGGAAAAATCGATAGATAATCAATTTAGAATAAAAAGAACAGAAAACGACAGATAAAGAACAAAGAAATTTGTTTAAGACTGTTAGCTAAGGACTTTGTTTTCTTCTTTGAATATTCTTGTAAGAAAATGTTAGTAATAAATGCAGTGGCTAAGGCTCGAGTTGGACTCAATTCCCTTAAACAGATTATTCTTCTGTTCTCAGGGTACAACAACCTTAACAGTGTGTATTGCCGGATATATCCACTTACCTGAAAGAATCGCCGGAAGTAGGTGTACAGAGAAGGAGAGGGAAGAAGAGTATTTTCATTCGTATGTTGAATGAGACGGTGGAGGTCTCATTTTATATTTGAACAAGTAACAACAACGAATCAATCGTCATTAAGGAATTAATTGAAACATTAAATGCCATTAAATATATAATTAATGCATCAGTTACAAAATTCAAACTAGAGACCAAAATTGTCAAGTTTAGTAAAAACGAAGGTTACACGAGCCCGAGTTTTTGGATCTGCATTCGTGTCCGCAGGTCGCGCCCATGCACATGTTAGGTGATTTTGGTCTACGAAACCCAAGATTTGCACCCCCCCTGCATGCGGGTAGGACTTGAAGTAAAACCATAGACACAAGCTTGTAAGCCTTTCATGCATTCAAGCTTATAAACCTAGATGAGTTTGGTCTTTCTACCAATGTAGGACTCATTCCCACGTTCATCTATTTTGCTAACTTTATTCTCAAGTACCCGTCTTTGAGTATCGATATCTCATTCACATATACTCCATTTTGGACATATAATATATCGTTTCGAAGTTCTGACGGAGAAGAACACAAACTCATTTAGAGTTAATTATATACACAACATATGTATATATTTATATATGTCCAATGTTTGTAAAAATATAAATAATTATACTAAAATTTTCCAACAAGCATTTGGTATACATACCACTAAAGACCACTCCGCATCATTTTTTATTTAAAATAAAATAAAAAACATCACAAATGGTTCATGTGGTATCTCGAAATCTGAATTTTAGTCCCTAAGTTTAAGAAACCTCACAAATGGTCCCTATGGTTTCAAAACGTTTGATGTTTGGTCCTTATTGCTCACTCTGTCATCTTTTGTCCGTTAACTGAATGACATTTTTGTCATTTCATTACCACTGGGACCATTTATAAAGTTTTGCCTTATTTTTTTAAAAGAAAAAAAAAGAAAATATAATTATTTAATATACAAATGGTCTCTCTCTCTCTCTCCTCATCAGACTTTGATGTGCATAAGAGAACCCGATGTCACCTTTGATCAATTTCGCTGCAACATCCTATCTTCACTACTCAAGACTACCACCAACCTGAGCTTGAAAGAACAAAGATTCCATAACAAGACGACCTAAGGTACACATGCCCCAAAACCAAGATATACATTGTACTAAAT